GCTAACAGTGAAAAGGCCTTCCATCCTGCTTACCACTGCTCAGCCTGTGTCTGCTCGTCATTCTGCATTGTTCTAACAGGAGTGTCACGCTTTCACTGGGTGCACCCACACCCCCCTCACAAAGTCTTATTCATCACGCCTTCGGATAGCCCCAGCATCACTTTCTGCAGAGACATCTGCATAACCATTTCCTTCCCTTCCTCGCTCTCCTCCTCTGACACAGGCACACCAGCACGCCACGTGCTCCGAGAGCCCGTGGGGTTTCCACTGCAACCCTCCTCACGCTGCACTTGTAATTGGTTGAATGCCTGCATTTCATTCCAGAGTTTGTGTTCCCTAAGGAAAAGGCTGATGCCCAACTTGTTCACTTAGCAGTTTTGGAGAGATTATGTATCTAGTCAACCAGTGAATGATTATGTGAAAAGTCATTCATATTTAGAAAGAAACAGCCATGCTTAGAAAGATCTCAGTGTAACTTCATTCTAAGTCAGATGTGACAACGAATCCTAGTATTTGAAGATAGGTGGTATTCTTTATACTCACAGGGTAGACTTGATTCATATCCATTCTAATGCTTTAATCCAGTGGGTCTCAACCTTCCTAATACCTTGACCCTTGAACACAGTTCCGCATGTTGTGGTGACCCCTAACCATCGGAAATATGTGTTTCCCGATGGTCTTAGGTAACCCTTGTGAAAGGGTCGTTCGACACCCCCAAAGGGGTCGCGACCCACAGGTCTGAGAACCATTGCTTTAATCCATGAACAATACAAAAATGCTATCTCAGGGTATTTTCTTTTAAAATAAAAGAATGGTATGTAAAATAGAAGCTGCCAGGGCTATAAGAAATTAACTGGAGACATCTTCCTTCTCTGTTGTGGTCACAGGCTGAGAACTGAAAATGCAACACCTGTATTGATTATGCAGCATCATGCTTATAAATGAAGGAAATGCCTTGTACAAGTTCACACCTCGGCACAGAAATGCAGAAAATTTACACAGTAGCATACATTCTGAAAGCAACCGTCATGCTCCATGCAGTGTGGGAAGAGGGCCTTCTGGTTTAACTGGGTGGCTTCAGGGCAAGTCAAGGAAATCAGTGTTGCTTGAAAATGGTAATGAAGCCAGAAGAGAACTCCACTTATATTTATGTCAGATTGGAACTGGTATTCCCTGTTGTCACTCAAGCTGGACTATTTGAAAAAACAAAGATAGTTGAAGGAATGCTTATTCTCCTGAGCTATTATGCTCCATAGGGACAAAGCCCCTTTCTCAGGCAAGTGATTCTGCTGTTTAAGCAGGCAGCCTAGTATAACTCAGGAACCCCTAGAAGCACCAGAGCACCCCCTGCTCCATCCATGGATGGAGACATTTGCAGGGAATTTCACATCTGAGGGTTGTTCAGATATAAGAAATTCTAAAAGTTGCTGTGAACTGTATTTAGTTCCCTAAGGTTAAATGCTGAAGTAGGGCATGGCTTTTATTCTGAAGGAGTAGAAATAAATATGGTCACAGTAATCCAGGTGAATAGAAGGAATGAACTATGTACTGAACAACGATGGTTCTGACAAGTGGCTGAGGGTTCTCTTCAAGCCAGTCCCTCGAAGTCAGATGATAAGCTAGCAGAGTGCAAATGGATTCTTAGGAAATGTCTCTTTTGCAAATCCAGAAATCAACTGACCAGCAAATTCATTATTCTTTATTCCATTACATCTTGCAGGATCAGAAAATCAGAAACTGTGTTGCAAAGGTATGCTATCCAGTCTTTGAAGGAGAATCTCTTCTCCTAAAGTAGAGATGTAGTTTGGATCTGCGTTGGAAAATAGGAAATGTTTCACGACGTGGCAAGGACATTTAAAACAGGACGAGCAAACACTAACCCATGACAACACGGAACCCAGCCCTCGGCTTGAAATCACGTACTGGGGTCCGACAGAGACGTCTCTAACACCATGTCGCTCTCATTCATTTCAATTTCAAAGGTCTCATCCAACAAAGGCCGGGAATCTGGGGTCTGCCTGGAGGGTTCCAGTGGTGCAAGACCTGCTTCTTCCACAGGTGGTTTTTCTACTTCAAATTCCCGGAAGTCCCAGGGAGGTGAAATGATGTTTTTTAGCGTCTTCATGGTATGCACATCAAAGTCATAACAGTTCAATTTGTCTTTAATGTCTGCTCCTAAAAAGAAATATAATAATTAGAGTAGGAAATCCGTCACTTACTTGTCTTTCCAATATTACAGAGCTCTGCTCCTATTGAGTCAAGTCGTGCTTCTGAGAGCACAGAGTGACCACGGAGGGGAAACCACTCTGTTTCTCAGTAAGAAACAGACTGCGAACCTTTCACCCTCTCTCCCACCCGTTTTCTTCTTTTTCCATGGTTAAAATAGGGGAGAAATCAGGACAGTTTGAAGAAGCACATGCAGTTTCAGCCCCAGTGTGGCTCACTGAATGTCCCCACGTTCCAGAGACCCCTGGGAATATGCTCAGAGAGGTGTCCCTTTTTCATAGCAGTTTAAGACAAGGGCTTTCTGTGATATGCTTGCTGGGCAAAGCTGCTAATCATATACAACGAAGGAAAACACATCCTCCACACATCAAACTTTTATGAGATTTTGCACAAAGAGATTAGGTTCAATCGCTTCTGACCGACAGTAAGCAATTTCAGAGTTCAAGCTAACAGCCTTTAGTAATAGGTGTTTTGCAGATGACATGCAAGCCTTCTTTAAAAAACAAAGTAATAATGAACTTGGAGATCTCTTTAATAAGACTGTTACCCCTACAAGAACAGGGAGCATGCCTATTTTATTCATTATTGTAGTAAGTAATTAGCTTGACGTAAATCTTGCAGGTAAGCCTCACAACTATTCCTTGAAAAAATGGGGAAAATGAGGCCAGGTACGACCCAAGATCAGAGGTGCTGAGTAGCAGAGCTGAGAGAACCCGGGGGCTTTCGGATGCCAGAAGTGCAAGCCTTTTGGAATTTTAATTCTTACTGCATGAGCTGTAACACACGAACAATAAATTATGCTAGCAATACGTACAAAGCCACATAATCACCACCAACCACAGCACAGAACATTTCCAGCACCTGGACGGTTCCCGTGTGCCCCTTCCTCGGTAATGAAACCACCTCTTGCAGGCACGAAGTCATCAACTCCCCGACTTACCTGTCACCAACCAGTTTTGGTTACATGAATCTTCCTGCAGGCAGATTAATCAGTATACAGTGAACCCTCGTTTATAGCGGTTAATTGGTTCTAGACCCTACCGTGATAAATGAAATTCCGCGAAGTAGGATTCCTTATTTGTAAATCAAATATTTTCGTAGTTAGAGCATAGAGGACATGAAAAAACACCCTTTAGTCACCATTACACTCGTATTACCCAATTTATTAAACGAAAAAGGGAAAATACAGTAAAACATTTTGGACGTTACAATTATCATTTATTATTTATTATATTATTTATGGCATCTAGTTTACAGTATTACATATTTCACATACATATTATTATACATAGTTCTTACAAATACTGTAATCAATAGCCTATGAAATGACTTAAGGGATGTACTCTACAGGTGGGTCGCCATCTTTTTCCTCTGAAGGAGCGGGTGTAGGCAGTGGGTGCTGTTATGCAAAAACCGCGATAGAGTGAAGCCGCGGAAGTCGAAGCGCGAAGTGGTGAGGGTTCACTGTATCTGCTGATGTAGGTGTGTGGGTTGTTTCTGTCTTTTGGCTACTGTGAACAGGGCTGCAATGAACATTGGGATGCAATGATCAAAGTGCCTGTGTTCAAGTCTTTCAAGCATATACACCTAGAAATGGAATTGTTAAGTTAAATGGAAATTAATTTTTAACTATGTGAGGCACTGCCCAAATGTTTTTCACGTAAGTCACATCATTCTGCATTCCCAACAGCAATGAGTGAGTGTCCTAATTTCTGTACATCCTAACACTTGTCATTTTGTTTTTCTGATAACAGGCATCCCAGTGGGTTTGCTGTTTTGGGTATCTCATTGTGGTTTTGATTTGCATTTTCCTAAACACTAATGATTTGAACAGTTTCTTGGGGGAAATGTCTATTAAGTCTTTTGCCCATTTTTGGGGGCTGGATTGTCATTTGATTATTAAACTGTATTGTTCTTCATATATTCTGAATATTAAACTCTATCTGATTCCCTGATAGTTTTCCATATCCTGTAGTTGTGTCTTCATTTTGTTGATTATTTGATACGCAAAATTTTAAAATGTTTATTAAATTCAATTTATCTATTTTTGTCTTGCGTTTTTTACTTGCTGTAATTTGAGGCGTCCTGGTGGCATCTGGGGCTGTGTGTAGGGCTGGTGGCCAACGGGTCGGCGGTTTGAACGTCCTAGCTGCTCTGCAAGAGGAGGCGAGGCTCCACACCGCGTGAGGATTTAGTCTTGGTTGACCAGAAGGGCAGGTGTATCCTGTCCTAAATGGTTATTATGGGTCAGAGCTGATTCGAAGGCAGTGAGTTTATCTAAGAATTCATTGTCAAAATCTAGGTACTGAAGCATTAAGGATCCCTGTTCTATTCTAAGAACGTCATGGTTTTAAGTTCTTCTACTTAGGCTGCTGATCCATTTTAATGTTCTTCTATGGTGTGACTGATAGAGCCAACTTTATTCTTTTCCAAGTGGACATCCAGTTGCAACACCACCATTTGTTGAAGAAACTATTCTTTTCCCACTGGGTGAATTTAACACCCTGTCAAAAACCAATGATCCATAGCTGGGTTTTGAATTCTGTCTTCAAGTTTCTGTGTACACCCTAGTGGTGTCGTGCTTAAGCACTCAGCTGCTAACCAAAATGTTGGTGGTTTGAACCCACTAGCCACTCAGTGGAAGAAAGAGGGAGCAGCGGCCTGTTCTGTACAGATTGACCACCACCGGAACCCTACAGGCAGTTCTACTCTGCCCTAGAGTATCTCTGATTCGAACTGGTTGGACAGCAGTGGGTTGGGAGTATTTGGTTTGGCCTATGTGCTAATTAATATACACAAACTGTTTCATGACTAAAGCTGTATAGCATGCTTTGAAATCAGGAAATGTAAGTCTTCCTACTTTATTCTTCTTTAAGATTGTTTTGCCTAAGGACATTTTTAGAGGCCTAAATACAGGCCTGTACATATGTAAATATATATATAACGAAAAGGGAATAGAACTATGTAGTCATATTTGTATGTTAAGAATTAAGGTTGCAGGTGGATATTGGCCTCGACTCAAAGTACTCCCTCAACGCAAGAACACTTTGTTCTAACAATCAGGCATTCTGTGATGCTCACCTTCCCGACATGATCACTGAAGACAAAATGGGTGCATAAGCAAATGTGGCGAAGAAAGATTATGGTGCCCGGCTATCAAAAGATATAGCATATGGGGTCTTAAAGCCTTGAGGATAAATAAGAGTCCATCTAGCTCAGAAGTAACCAAGCCCACATGGAAGAAGCACATCAGCCTGTGTGATCATGAGGTGTCGATGGGATCAGGTATCTAAGACCCAGAATAAAACCATACCCAAGGTGAATGGGGGGGAGGGGCATGAAGTGGAGACCCAACGCCCATCTGTAGACAATTGGACATCCCCTCACAGAGGGGTCACAGGGAAGAGATGAGCCAGTCAGGGTGCAGTATAGCACCGAGGAAACACACAACTTTCCTCTAGTTCTTTGGTGCTTCCTTCACCCCACTAACATGACCTCAATTCCACCTTACAAATCGGATTAGACCAGAGCATGTACACTGGTACAGATAGGAACTGGAAACACAGGGAATCCAGGATAGATAAACCCCTCAGGGCCAACAAGGAGAGTAGAGATACCAGGAGGATTAGGGGAGGGTGGGGAGAGAAAGGGAGAATCAACCACAAGGATCAACCTATAACCTCCTCCTGGGGGTACGAATAACGGAAAAGTGGGTGAAGGCGATGGAGGACGCTGTAAGATATGGACATAATAATGTATAACTTATCAAAGGTTCGTGAGGGAAGGCGGGCGGGAGAGGGAAGGGGAAGATATAGGGAGCTGATATCAAGGGCTCAAGTGGGAAAAAAAAGCATTGAAAATAAAGATGGCAGTGTAAGTGCAAGTGTTCTTGACACACTGGACGAATATATGGATTGTGATAAGAGATGTAAGAGCCCCCAATAGAAGTATTTAAATTAAAAAAAAAAAGATTGTTTTGTCTAACTGGGGCCCCCTCAGGTAATGTGTATTTGAGGATTGGCTTTTCCATTTCTGCAGAAGCTGATAGGAGTTGCATTAAATCTACAGATCACTTTGGGTAGTATTGACATCTTCACAATAGTAAGTAGTCTTCTATTCTATGAACATGGAAAGTTTTTCCATTTCTCCAAGTCTCCTTTAATTTCTTCCAGCAAAGTGTTAGCGTCCAGTGTACATGTCTTTCATCTTCCCAGTTAAACACATTGTTTAGATGCTACTATAAATGGAATTGTTTGCTTAATTTCCCTACCAGCTTGCACATTACTGATGTAAAGAAACACAATTTTTGCATGTACAATTTTGCTGAACTTATCAGCTCTAATAGCTTTTGGGGGGGATTCTTTGGGATATATAAATGCACGTGTAAAATATATGTAGTATGCATTATATATTCACATGCATGGCATGTATATACTTAAAATAGAGTAGCATATATTTACTTACGCATATGCCATATGTGTAAATACAGAATATATATTACATATATACTGTGAACAAGAACAGTTTTACTTGCTGCTTCCCAGTTTGTTCTTCCCACTTGCTCTGGCGAGGATTTCCAGTGCGGTGTTGAGTGGCAGTGGTGCCTTCTTCCTAATCCTCATGGGAAAGCTTTCCACTGTTTCCTATCAAGTATGAGCTGGCTATGGGCTTTTATAAAGTCCCTTCATCATACTGTGGACTTTCTCTTCTCTTCTTCAGCTGTTGCATGTTTTTATCATGAAAGGTTACTGGAGTTTGTCAAATGCCTTTTCTACCTCAATTTGAGACAGTTATGGGGTTGGTTTTGATGGCAACTTTCAGTCAGGCCTCAAGTTCTCAGTTAGAACCCTGAGACAACCACGCTGTGCAGCAGTCTGGGATAAAAGTCACGTGGAGAGAAGCCCAGTCATCCTAGCCGCCCACCTATCCTGACTGTGATCCGAGGTAAGCATAGGCCATCTTGGACCGCACAGCCCAAGCCAAGCCACCCACTGACAGCAATAGCATTAGAGAATCCAGTCAAGACCCACAGAAGGGCCCCCCAATGAGCCTACAGAACGGTGAGGCTAAGCTGCTAACTTTGGAGCAGTTACGCAACAATGGAGCAACAGGTAGGGCAGACCTGTCTATAACTTTAGTAATCCAAAGAGGTTTACGTATTTACAATCCCACCAATAACTGATAACATACGAAAGTTCCAGGACGGTATCAGATCTTAATCTTCATTTTGCTGAGTATATGGTGATACCTAATTACGGTATTCATTTTGTTGATAAGTAATACTGTTGAGTATCTTCAGTTTGCTAAACAACTACTTGGATATCTTCTTTTGTGAAGCACCCATTAAAGAATTTTGTCCATTTAATGATTGGGTTAACTTTTTCTCACTGACTTGTACGGCTGTAATGTACAAGGTACCCCCCAAAACCCAGAATTTTTCATTTAAAGCTATGTATTTGAATTTTTTTTTTACAAAACAACCATATCACCTTCAAAGTACTCTCCACTACACTTAATACATTTGTCAAATCTGCGATTCCATTCTTGGAAACATTTTCAAGCTCATCAGTTTGGATGACTGACAGCCCCTCCCTCGTTTTCCCTCCCTTCTTCTATATCATCAAATCGCTGTCCTATCACGTCCCTCTTCATTCATGAAACAAAAAGAAGTTCTACAGAGCAAGGTCAGGTGAGTCAGGTGCATGGGGCAAGACAGCCATGCTATTTTTTGTCAAAAGCTGCCACACTGAGATGGCTGTGTGAACCAGGTGCGCTGTCATGGTGGCAAAACCAGTCCCCCATCTGCCACATCTCAGGCCATTTTTTTGGCCCACACTGTTACGCAATCTTTTCAGAATCTCTAAATACAATGTCTGATTAACAGTCTGACCTGGTAGAACGAACTCCAAATGCACTATCCCCCTCACATTAAAAAAAAACCCCAAATGAGAATCATTTTATTTTGTTGTTGTTGTTGTTGGGGGGGAGTACCCCTTATATTCAAGATACAAATTATTTTGTCTTGTAACTTTACTTTTCCACACCTTAATCATGATTTTTGATGAGCAAAATTTGTTAATTTTATTGAATTCCCATTTTGAAGTCCCATTTGTTAATCTTCCCTTTTATGGTTTTATATTGTATTAAAGAAATTTTTCAGAAAAAAAGAGAACTTTTTGCCTAATCTCTAGTTTGTACTTTTTAATTCCTATATAGACTCCTCACATAACTAAAAAAATCCCCAGTTATAACAACTTCATCTAAACATTTCTCATTACTTATCGTTAAAAAAATAATTGAGTTACATGTTATTTAAGTGAATGTATTAAAATTTATCAATATACCATTGAAGTGTAGAGATTAACATTATGCTATTCGCTACATTGTGAAATATTACAGCCATAAAAATTACATGGAATTTCTTAATATTAATCAAATTAGAATAGTTAGAAAGATAAAGATAAACCTCTGCTTAAATTTATTAGAAAAATGTCAGTAAGACTTGTTTTTCCATTGTGTAAGGGGATTAATCTGTCAGCAACACAATGCTTTACTCATATTTTATCAGTATTTCGCAAGAAGGAAGTGCTAATTTCAAAGGGAATGGATAGTTAGTAAGCAGTTTTCTAACAAAATAGAATTTGTTGATATTAATCAAGTCAAAATGGTTAAAAAGACAACCATAAAACCTTAGATAAAAACGTGGGAAATCTACATGGAAAAGGACTACAGAAAGAGAAAGAATCTGAAAAGTGGACGGCACTGCCAAGAAGAATGATAATCTTACCAATGTAAGCTTCGGAATCACCAATGTACATTTCGATGCAATGTCCAAGCATTGTAACGGAAAACGTATCGTCTCGCCTAAGACCAAGTGCCTGCCAGACATATGCAGCATGATTATTAAAAGAAAATGTGTTCCTTTCTCTCTTATTTAAAAATATTATTTGATTCACTTCAAAATGCTTCAAGGAACCAAAGGTGGGACTAGAGAGTTGTCAGTGGGGGCAGAGCTAAACCCAGATTGACTCCCAGTATAGTCCATAAGTATAGTAATTGTTAACGTTGGTGATGGGTCTATGAGGGTTCATTTCACTGTTTTTCATATTTGATATTCTCCTTCCAGAGGGATTTTTAAGCCATAACCCACAAGAACCATTAAGTTCTATGGTAATGAAACCACACAAGAAAGGTAAATTATACAATATTCAAGTACACACATTTGAAAGATTAAACAAGACTAGAAAATTTGCTCAGCTCAGAGTTCTGACTAGCTTCGCAATTTGTTTTCCATAGTGGTTCTTCAAAACTCCGTCAAGCCTTATGCCCTAAAAATCTTTAATGGCCTTTGAAAATCAGTTATGAATTTATTACTCATGAATATATCTTTGAAACACTGCAGTTTCTCCTATTTTACCTCTTCCACAATACCATTATCTCATCAATTCTAAGATCCACATTTCCCCCCATTTAAATCTTAACTTTTCTCAGAGCCAGATGTCTTACAATTCATGGCTCTTTCCTGTCGGTGTGGCCAAGCAGCAACCCTGCTGTGGGGTCGCTGGTGTGTGCAGTGAGAACTTGTTGTCATGCTGGGTGGCATGGCTAGAAAACTGACCCTGCAGTTGGCAAACCGTGTATGAGACACGGAGAAAAGTGAATCCTCGCTGTTGTCTAGCAACCTCCTTTTGACACCTTCTAGTCAGATCACGAGAGTGGCAACATCAACCTCTGGAGAAGAACGTCTATGTGGCTTGGAAGAATATTCCAGAACCCAGAGGAGAACATGTGTGATGGCATCCAGATAATATTAGAGGAAAAGGAATATTGATTAGATGCTTAATGTGAAGAATAACTATTTCACTTAACACTTTTCTTTGAATGTCTATTCTCGAGCAGTATCTGTCTAAATATGCCCATAAGATCACTTTGCCAGAGTGCAAGATACTAAGTGACAGAAAAGTACTATGTTCAATTTAATCGCCAGCACTGTTTTTCTTTTTGTGTGTGTGATCACCTCTCTCATTCATGGTGTCTTAGATTTGATGAAATGTAGGAGAGTGGTGTAAGGAGAGATGCTGTATGATAAATGCAGATTGTCTTGTTAGTCAAGTGATTGAGTCAAGTAAACCGTAAGAGTCAAGAATAATAACTGGGTGCTCCCACAGGGCGCTGACTGCGTAGCCAACATTTCTGTACCCCTCAGCCCAAGTATACCTACTCACATGAACATTTATATAACTCATGGCACACTTATGACAGGTCTCACGTTTGCTTCCTATTTGAGGAAGACTGCAAAATATATACAGACTTTTTGCTACCAAAAAACTAATACAAGGTGGCATACATTTTTTTTTTAATGGCAAAGAAATAAAACACTACCTAGGAAAGATCTTTTCAAAAAGTAGTAAACGTTCATTCGGTTTAAAGTTAGGTAGAAGCAAGAATGTACCGTGTGAAAATAGTCGATGGCATTTTCGAAATTGCCCATCAGGCTATGTATGTATCCTATAGCAGAGTAGGTCGATGCATTCTGAGGGATTAACACCAGGGCCTGACGGTGGTAATCCAACGCTTCATCATACTTTCTGTGAGATGAAATGACAGAAGGAGGGAGAAAAGCCAGAAGGGGAGGAAGAGAGAAAATAATCAATGGTTACCATAAAGTTACTAAATTCCTAAGTCAAGCTGAGTACTTATAACACGCAAACATTTCCCTATGTCAGAAAAACACGACACCTTCCCTCTACGTCCCACTCTCGTACATCTCAATAGTGCCATATAACTGTATTTTCTTGACAAGCTTCCTCGGGTGGTTGAGGGGCTTGCTGCATGCGTATCTGTTGTATTGCTTTTTACTGGCACCAGAACTCTACTCCTTGACTCCTGGGCTTGAAGCCCTTTATAACACACTTTTATGAAGATAAACCTATGTACATAGTTACGTTTTCTTGTGCCAACATGGCACAAGGAGTTTAGCCTGTCAATCAGGTGCAGCTTGATGACCTCATTTGGAGGTACCACCAGGATAAATGGCTCTCTGGAGGCGGGCCTCTCTCTCTCTCTCTCTCTGCTTTCCCCTTTGTGTTGACCAGCCATGCTGAGACCTGCGCCAGCCCTGTGATGCTTCCATCATCATTTGATCCTTAAGACATTCCACCCACCGGCCTGTGATCTTCCTGCATTTTGCATCATTGCTGTGGCTGCATGAGTTTGAAGAGGGAATTATGGACTAGTAGCAGCCTTATGAATTAATATCGGATTTGTGGACTTGATCTGGACTGGGCTGGGATGTTTTCTTGGTATAAAGCTCTCTCTTATACATCTAGGAGTGTCACTGGATTTGTTCCTCTAGTCTATCCAGCCTAACACAACCTACAACACAAGATACAGTTACAAATCACCATGCAGTTTTTAGGTCTAAAAGAGTTCCTCAGAGCAATGTTTCCCAAAGTTCTCTGGATTACTTTCCCTAGAAAATCTTTTGTGAAAAACAAGTTCTGTTTCCAATGCAGTTTGAGAATTGTTGCAGCATTTCAAATGTCCAGTTTGGGGATTGCACAAAAAGACCCCAAGAAATCGTGCAGTACAAAAACTTGTTAAATTTGGTGTCAACTATGGAGTTTTTCAAACTTACTTTACTTAACAACACCACCATCTGTAAACTGTCACATATTTATCACATTTAATGGTGCTCATGTGAAACCTCTATATAGACCAAGAGGCAGTCATTCGAATAGAACAAAGAAATACTGAATGGTTTAAAATTAGGAAAGGGGTGTCAGGGTTGTAGCCTTTCACTATATTCAAACTGAATGCTAGGCAAATAACCTGAGAAACTGGACTATGTGAAGAAGAACACAGCATCAAGACTAGAGGAAGGTACACTAACAACCGGTGCTGTACAGACAACACAACCTTGTATGCTGAAAATGAACGCAAAGATGGCCATCTTCAGTCTGGATTACGACTCAATGTAAAGGGAACAAAATCTGTTACAAGTTGATCAATAGACAACATCACGATAAACAGAAAGACCAAAGTTGTTACGAATTTCATTTTACTTGGACACAAAATGGATATCCATGGAAGTAGAAGTCAAGAGATGGAATGATGTACTGTGTGGTAAAATTTGCTGCACAAGACCTATTTAAAGAGTTACAGAGCAAAGATGTCACTTTGAGGAACAGGGTGTGCCTGACTCAAGTCATGGTATTTTCAACGACCTCATGTATATCTGAAGGCTAGACAACGGATCAAGAGGATCATAGAAGAATTGGTGCCGTTGGCTTACGGTATTGGCAAAGCATACTGAAAGTACCATGCACGGCCCGCAGGAGCAAATGTGCCCTGAGAGAAGTACAGATCCTTAGAAGAAAGGGGGGTGAGACTTGGCCTCACATGTCTGGACATGTCATCAGGAGAGACCAGTGCCTGGGGAAGGAGGCTCTGCTTGGTAACGCAGAGGGTTCGTGAAAACGAGGAAGACCATCAGCGGCTGGCTCGATGGGCTCCCACACAGCACTGTGAAGACGGCCCAGGACCTGGCAGCGTTCCCTTCTGCTGACGCAGCATCGCTATGCGGTGGAGCCGACTTGATGACACCTGACAACATTTGTCTTTCACAGAACTAGTGTCCAGCAGGAAGAAACAGGTTAGCATATGGATATGGTTTCAATTAGCTCCTACTGTCTAATTTCTTTTAGATTCATTTGGAACACTACAATTTTTTTCATCTAAAAAAAGTAATTATAAAGTATAAGTTCCTAAAATAAAATTAAACCAACAGAGGATAATTAAAACAAAATAAAAAAAGACCCACTTCTTTTTATCCTTATTATATCTCAACAGCCAACAATAAGAAACCAGAAGAGGGTCATGAAATGAAAACATGCAAAAGGCCACCAAAAATCAAGTAAACTTGCAGTCACAAAGCCTACTGCTGAAAATGCTCTATGTTACTTACTTAAGTTTTCTGCAGACATGCCCCAAATTGTTCAACAAAGGCTCCCATTTGTCCACTGTGACCTGAAACACAGAGCAGCAGTAAAGCACGAGCTATCCACATGGCACTTTTCACGACCTCCTGTAGGCACTGACTGAGCGCTCATTAATTCCTGCAAGTGGGTGCCTCTCAGCTGTGTTTGCACAACACTCTGTGCGCCTCTGCCACGGCACTCCCTCATGTGCGTTTCCACAGTTGTTTTCTCCTTTTTAGATGAAAAGGAGACCTCCTTCCTGTATGATTTCTGTACAGGCAGACTTTGGAGATGGCGCAGGTTTGGTTCCAGACCACCGCAATGAAGAAAATACCACAATAAAGACAGTCACACAAGTATATCTTTTGCTTCCCAGTGCATATAAAAGCTAGGTCTATCATACTCTATTAACAAAGCCCTGGTGGCATAGTGTTTACGTGTTGGGCTGCAACTGTAAGGTCAGCAATTCGAAACCACAGGCCGCTCCATAGGAGAAGAAAAGAATTTTCATTCCTGTAAGAGTGACAGTCTCGGAAGTGCATGGGGGCACAGGGCAGTTCTACCCTATTCTATGGAGTCGCTATGAGTTGGCATCGAATTGATGGCAGGGAGTTGGTTAGGTTGTAGTCTCTTAAGTGTGCAATAATAGCATTATGAAAAAAATTTGAAATACAGTGTTACCAAAATGTGAAACAAGGACACAAAGTGAACACATGGTGCCAACAGACTTGCCTGACAAACCTTCAGTTGGTTGAAATAAACCCGAAAAACCAGCCAACTTCAATATCCATGAGGTGCAATACAGCAGAAACACAATAAAATGAGGTATGCCTGTATTTCTAGTACTTAAAACAGTCTTCTCAAATAGTCTACATGAAAAAGCAAACTTTGTGCCTCTTTTTGTTTTTTAGCAGACAATATCCCCAATGAAGCAAAGGCACGACTTGGTTCACACCCTCTACTCAGGGCAGGTCGGAATCCCAGCCTCATCCTGTCATCAGTTTAGTGGAGAACACCTTCCACAGGCACAGAGGCGAGGAAGCTGCAAGAGGGCTTATTCAGCAATGTTACTTTCATCCTTGGAGAATAGACACACCTGGGTACACGCACATAGCTATCGTTACAAATATACGTAGAGTACCTCATTCCCAATTGCTTTGATTTTTTCTAAAGCATCAAGGAACCATTTTTCTGCTGTTTTCCAGCTAAAATGGGGTGAGAAAAAGTTGCAGGTTATTCATGATAAGCAAATGTAAACATTCAAGAAATATGTTAATACTTAAGTAAAATGGGGTATATTATTGGCATGACTTTGATCAAAAATTCAAATCATGTTATTAATTTTATTGTATTCTTATCACACAAGCTTAAGATCTTAGGAGAATAGTAAATTATTATGCCTAAAAACAAATAAGCCCCATTCTTATAAAATGCACCAATGAGTCCATTTTTAGAAGAAATATAGCCCCAAACAAACTGACTTACTGCTTTCTAATTTATATGCAATTTAATGCAAAGGATTACAAGTATTTTTCTCTTAGCTGATACCAAATTATTTATCTTACAAAACATCCAAGGTTACAATAAAATCTCGATTGAACGGGAATCTTAAGAGATGAGGTTGTTTTAATTAGTTTAAATTTTGACTGACTTGCAACAAAGCAGACGCTGTAAGTCATCTCTGACTCACAAGGGGGTTCCACACTGATGGCTACTCCACACCGACATAAAGCGAGTCCCTCGTCTGCTCTCTAGTGTTCACCATGATTGCCTTTTATCACCATCACCTTTAGGAATCAGGTCTTTATTTGTCTTTGGGGTTTGGAACCATTACACCTGAGAATGCGCATCTGCTGCAACACTATATCTAGTACACACTGCTGATAAGATGTACGGAGAACACACGGATGGCCCTACGGTGGGTTTGTCAGAACTGGAATCCTTCCTAATTCCAGGACCTGTGAGAGTCGGAACTCAACGGGACTGCCTCATTTTTCTGGGTCTGGAAAGTTTTCTCCTTTGACAGAGTGCAGTCTTCCCATTTTCCTATCCCTCATTTCTGTGGAAAATACTGGAGTTTTCGAGGTTCCGTGTATTTTTCTTTCAATGACTACAGACTATTCAGTGCCTCTCAGCAGCCACACTGCTGACTGTGAGTGATGTGCAGATATGCCTGTTGTACAGCAGTGCGACTACCCGACTATGGCAGCTGAGATGGAAGGGGGCTCAGGCCTGAGTCAAATAATTTTAAAGGAATGACAAGATTTTAAAAGAAGGAAATGTCTTAAAACAGTACAGAATAAAAATCTACTGAAAAGTCAGCCTGATCATTTGAATTCTAGTAACTGAGGTTTTACTCTATTTATCAAAACAGCACAATTTTCTCTTAGTACTTACTCCCCATTCTGAAAGGCAACAACGCCAACCTCATGCATAACAAAAGGATCTTCAGGTGCAATGCCCAACGCCTGGCTAAAGAACCTTTCAGCCAATTTGGAGTTATTGGTCAAGCCATATTCCAATCCAATATACAGCATCGGCAGATGACACCTAGAAATCATATAACATTTCACATACTCAACACCAACTTTCTCACTTAGCAGAAACTAACGGATCAGTTTCCCACTATTTCTACAAAATAATGTAAACATAATACTGTAATAAAAAACATACTACTGCTTACGTTTTAAAACATTTTTCATGTACTGACATTTAGTGAGTAAGATGAGGCTGTCTGCTCCTGCAAAGTCAACAGTCTTGGAAACCCAAAGCGGAAGGTACCCTGTCCTACAGGGTCCCCGTGAGTCAAAACTGACGCAGCGCCAGTGAGTTTGGTTTTGATTTGAATGAGCTTTTAGTTTCATCTATGATTATTTGGGGACGTGATCACTGACCTATTTATCTTATTTTCCACTCCAGTCTTCTATAGTTAAACAAAAAGTCACCAATGCCGCAGGGCAGATGGACTTAGGCCCTGGCATTTCCCTCCCACTCCCGCCACAGCCTGTGTCCAGACCCTCCCCTCCATCCCTTCATTTGTTCAGTTCCACGTTATTGTGCCCGTTTTGTTCAAGCCCTGCTCCCTTTATGAGGAACATCTGCTTTCCTAACTTGAGTGGATTTCCCTTTTGTGAACTCCCGTGATAATCAGTTTTTATCCTTTCTGCACTGAAGAACTCTCTAACTATGCTGTGTATATTGATCCCATTTGCCTACTTCAGAAACAGTTCAAGGCTCTGAGTAAATAAATACCAGCTCCTTTTAACTGAATTTTCATCTTCTCACCCTAATGGAGACACTGAATTTTCATCTTCTCACCCTAATGGAGACACTGTTCACTACATTAAAGCAAATCTCAAGAAATAATCTGTCTTTGAAAATGGATCTAAGAACATTCAATAAAATCTCACTGTTTGGTATGTGTTTTGGTTCTAATCTTTTATTGGGGGCTCTTACATCTCTTATCACAAGGAAATAAGTTTTAAATGGTGAACTAAACCTATCACAAAGCCATCATTCAACTCAACAACAGTTTGGTTCCACCAATAAAAAACGTTTGCCTTGAACACAGCACTCTTCTATAGAGTTGTCTACAAGTTCAAACTGATAATCATTCACCACAAGTACAGATGAGAACATATTGGGCATATGGGGATGGAATAATATGAGTGGAGATAGGACGGTGACGCATGGTTAAGTACGTAATGAATGGCATGGAACAGAACATGTAGCAACTGTGAAAAGATGTGGTGCACACATACAAAGGTTCTATCACCTACAGAAGAGGCATGAGGAACCCTTAAAAAATATTTGCCCTGAGAACAGCAAAGGATGGACCTCCAAAAAGCTATTCCTTCAGAAAAGCAAGGATAAAATGGTAAATATTGCCCAAAACAACTTTTTCACAACCCTGGAATTAAAGAAAGACTTACAATTAAAGGGGCATTTAACCAGGAAAAAATGACTGAACTGCTCCATGGGGTTTCTGAGACTACACATCTTTAAAAGAGTAGACAGCCTCATCTTTTCCTACAGTGTGGCTGGTGGGCTTGAGTAGTTGACTTTTTGGTTAGCAGTTGTGTAGTGAATTATTTAACAAAGCGCATCTAGCTGTAGTCTGTTACTCTCACCACACAATTTTCCCTGATGGCTTTGGGTAAGAGGCTAGGGAAGATGCTGATAGAATCATGAGATTGAGCTGAGTGATTGTTAACAGAGTTGATTGTGATTACCACCCTGCTGGGTAAAAACTAAGCCATCACAGAAGCAGGAAGGAAGGAATCTCACTGCCAGCGAGAGAGAAAAGCAAGGTGTGGAGTGTATCCTTTGGGCCCCGGGATTCCTGAACATGGTACCTCCTTAAACCAGAAGACAGTTTTGACAAGAGAAGCAGAAACAACAGAACTAAGAGCTAGAGCATCAGACAGAGTAGTGGACTTCTCAGTCCAAAGAGTAGTTAAAGCCGCCTGCCTTGGGGACAGAAACTAGCCTATGAAGTGGGGTGCTCCCAGGCACTTAATTGGGGAGGTAGGTATGCTGACTCACGAACTAGAGCTGAGTGCCTTTGGGCTAAGGCTTATGGTAGAATGCCATTTGGGCATTTATTTGCAGCCCTAAAGAGCATGTAACATTTCATGAGCAGGGCCGAGGCCAATGGGCTGCGTAGCTGACAGGTAAAAGTCCCAAAAAAAGGTCTGCCTGCAGGTACAGCTGAGTAGGGGCTGTTCTGCTTGAAAATTTTATCCTGAGCATTTCTAACTTAACGTCTTAATAAACGCTATAATCATGCATATTATCTGTGAGTTCCGTGTGCTCACTGCAGTGAATTAGCAACATGGTTGAAAGTACAGTGCTATGGAAAGGTGGCCATACCTGACCTCATAAATCTGCCCTGGGCAATGTGGAGTTTGAATGTTCTCCTTGCTTGGTAGCTGGAGGAGTTCGAACACCACCCCTATGTCAGTTCTTCCTTTTATAATTGGTGTCAGAAGTGGGATTTATTACAATAGCTCCAAACTCAAAGAAGCATGGGACTTTGGTAAGGGAAAGAATGAGGGACAGGGCATGTAAAACACTTGACTCTTACTTTAGTAATTGCTACCTGCAGAGGCTGAAACAAGCATAAGAAACGACACATTGCAGTTGAGGGGAGAAAAGCTGCTTCTGGGGTAAAAGCAAGGCTGAAAAAGACCACTGATAGGCGGCTAGGGCCTACTGGAGTCACTCTGCCAGAGGCCCACGGCGATATGCACACAAACGGAGATACACTCAAGGTTGAAGAGAAGATTAAACTTGAGTATTTTGTAAATGGTTAAGGGTTACGTGTTTGTCTGATTACACTGTGGATACTGGATATTTCTCCTACTAGGTTCTGAAATAATAAGGTAATTTTAATATTTCTCTTACTAGGTATTGTGATAATATAGGTATTGTAATAAGAAGCCTACATATGTGATGGAAATCAATATGATTACAGAGTTTATAAGCTTGCCTTCAACTTCTACTTGATTGGATAAGCCAAAAGAGGAGTTAGGAATTTCCCAGAAGGAATAAGCTTTATTTTAAGCCAGAAGCCTATGTAGACTTGAGGGCTTAGATGAGAACCTTAGTGCCACCCTATAGCTGCTGAGAAAACAGGAAATTTACACATTTGAAAGGAGACTTGCAGAGAAAAAGAAGAATGTTCAACTTCTTGAATTCTGAGCAGTTTGCCACTGGATGCATCACTGCAGAAAAAGTCTGTGTCCATCACAGAAAACCCCATCGAAGATTGAAGGTTAAAGGGAGACAGGAAGTGGATGGCTTGGTATGCTTATGTGGCAACCTCCTACATCGACTTGTTGAGTGGAAGTGAAGGAGAGGCAGCAATGAAGAGATGAGTCAAGCTTGGACAGATTCCATTGATACCTGTTGACCTGGTCCACAGGGGATAAAGATGAGGGAGGAAAGGGAGGGCTGGCTAGTCTGAAGTTTAAAGAGTTGGGCGGGTCCTGCATCTATGGGCACAACCTAACCCACATGAGACTGGCGCTCATGAGAGCGTGAAGGGCTGGCTAGCGTGTGAACTTCCACGTTTGTTATTGGTGTCTCATTGATCTAGCTTGGTTGGCTAGGCTGAGTTAACCAGAACCCGACCAAATGAAAAGTGAAATATGTTTTACACAGTGAGGTGGTGAACTCTACTATACTCCTGACTGATGGCCTGTTCTACACTACTTTGCTTATGGTTGCAGATGCTAAAGTTCCCACTGGAATGGAGATTCTTCACATCAAAGAACATGCTTGCTTTCTCAGAGTACTAGGTTAAGAGGGATGAGCAATTTAGAAACTTGACATCTAAAGCAGAGAGTGATAAAGGCGTGAAGTGGCTGGCTTTCACGGGTGTGTTTAGTCTCAAAATGAGTGGGAAACGGAGGATCCCCGTGACATATTTTTCCTGATGGGTCTGGGGTAAAGAGGTTGGGAAAGCTGTTGACAGGATTATATGATTCAGCTGCAAGTGATAACAAAGTTAGTTGTGATTGTCAAAATTGTATTGTATAATATGTAACTAAGAGAGGAAGTTCATTCCCATGCATGGAAGAGACAATGGCTAAAAGACCCAGAGGGTGGCCTACGGTGAAGTCAAATTGCTTAAATATGGCTCTTCTACCCATGTCTTTGTAACTCCCACCTATTTGGTGAGGTTAAGCAAATAGAGCGTGTGGAACACTAACAGAGGCGATTTGTCAGTCTTGTCCTTTTGGGGGTATAAAAGCCATCTCAGGAGCAGGGGCAGAGAGAATCCTGTGATCCTGAAGACAGAGCCACCAGCAGAGGAGCCAGTGCGAGCTCTCTGTCTAAAGTGGTGGAGGCAGCAGAGGCAGCCGAGGGCTACAGCACCGAGGTACGGCAGAGAAGCCATGAGACCACGAGGCAGAGGAGCGTCTAGAGCAGCAGTTCTCAACCTGTGGGTTGCGGGGACCCCTTCGGGGCTCAAACGACCCTGTCACAGGGGTTGCCTAATTCATAACAGTAACAAATTTACATTTATGAAGTAGCGACGAAAATAAGTTTATGGTTGGGGGGGGGGGGTCACCACAACATGAGGAACTGTATTAAAGGGTTAGAGCATTAGGCAGGTTGAGAACCACTGGTCTAAACCCAAGGAACAAGGCAGAGGCCAAGGGACCATGTGGCTGAGAGGCCAGGGACTAGATAGATATCCTGCCAGCATGGTTGACAAGAGGCAGTGCAAAAAAGAACTGTGTCTTCACCGTTTGTAACCTGCTCGCTTCCTTCATAAACCCCATAATTGTGTGCACTGTCTTGTGAGTCCTTTGTGGTGGTTACATGGCATTACTGAACCCAGCAGAGAAGCAGAGTACCCTGGCAGCTAGAACAGGGTAAGGACAGAGGGTACAGACAGGGCTAGCCTCTGCCTTGTGGTACTTAACCTTGGGCTCGGGTGGAGTTGGATTGTCCTCCTCCTTGTGTAGCCAGAGGAGGGCAGACATGGCCACATTCCACTTCCTCAGCAGCCTACTGTGCTACCAAGACCCCTTCAAGTGCAGCCCATACACGGGGAACAGAGGCAGTGCGCAGTAATTACCCCTTAGAAGCCCTGGATATTGTGCTGGATGAAGCTGATACGAAGCGCTTTCATGCGCTTCTCTTCCCTTAACCTATTTTCTAGTTCCTTCATGCACTGGTTGAGAAAACTGAAAGGCAAACTCATCGTGCAAACACTGCCCCCCACCCTTTTCTACAGTTATTTTATAATCACAAGCTAGGAGACAGGATACTAGCGAGAAGTTTTAAATTTGTTTAGGGTAACAACCAAATGGCTGCAATAGGAATCTCAGTTTTCCAGCAAACAACGCTTTCACCGCGCTCCGTCAGTTTGTGCTGACATACCCCTTCATCAGCTGGGCGGCTGTGAAGTACGCAGCCATCGCCTGATCATGCTCGCTCTCGACTGCGAACGAGTGCCCGTATGCTATCCAGGCAGGCCCGTAGGTCCGCTCAAGGGTTGTAGCTTTGCTTAAAAAAAAAAGAAAAAAGAAATTTATTCTTAATTTGCTGAGTTCATTTTAGGGAAGTAGATGGTTGGCAGGGCAGTGCCATGAAATAAGGAGCTATCATCATATTAAAAGCTAATGTAACAACTGTGTTAATCCATTTGAAGTAAAACGTATTAGTTCAAATCAAATTTTAATAAGTTTTAGGAGAAACATCTATCATTATGAGTAGAATAACTGAGCCTAGTAGTACTTGACAGAACTTAAGAATATTTTCTTAGTACAATGAGATCCATTTGTAACTCCATTGGTAAATAAATGGTGGCAACAGCAACAGCATAATCATTAAGAAAAGGTCATCTTTGTGCTTTATACATGCTTAACTGATTATTGCTAGTTCTTCCTACAGGTTCACTGGATGGGGCTAGGGGTGGGGGTACATTCATACCTGAGATATCTTCTGGCATGTTCATTTTTATGACCAACCATGAGATAGTAGCATCCCACTGCAAACCAAGACACCTAAAAAGTTCAAATTTGACCATGACCAAAGATGCTTACTCTTGCACTGACAATCTTTAACACATCAGGCCAGAATGAGGGTGTACCAGATATTTTTCTCTCACAAGTTCTAGGTCAAATTAGAAATTTCTCTCAGAGACGGACTGTGTCTGCTCCTGCTATCTGCTGATCCGTCTTCTAGCCCCTCCTCCATCTCGAGTCTGTGGTTTGTATTCTCTTCTCCTGGACTTCCTTCCTTCTGCCTTATTTCCACAGTGTTCAAGGTTCAAATTAACATCTTCTCGAAGACCTACTCCTGGTCTTTACTTCTGTCTTAGGGTCTCATTGCTTTGTCTATGTTTTCAATTTCTAGTTCTCAGGTCTGATCAGGGCAGTTTGAAAACACAATGAGCCAACCAGTGCAGAATTTAAAAGCTATCAAACAATGAGCTGTCACTTAGGAGAAATGGGAGTAAAACTTTTGTTTTCTCTATTATGTATTTCTGGATGCTAAGAGTTTTAAAATAAGCATGCGTAATTTTGAAAAACAATATAATAAAGATTTTAAGTTATGGCTTTAGCGTACTAAGAATACTTTCAGAGTGACGCTGTTTTCTAAGTATCTTAAGCACTGGGAAAATCAGCTTCAACATTTTCAACACAACATTCCTGCTTGAATTTATTTATTTTTTTCCTGCTTGAATTTAAATATAAGTTATCCAACTGCTAGTTAAATTAAATACTAGTTAAATTCAGATTAAAAAGAGATTCACATTACTTACAGGATTACTAGGATATAAATCCACCAGCTTATGAGAAAGATAGAAAAGTTCTGTATTTAAAGAAAAAAAAAATGTCAAATGCATTTGAAGATAATAATTTTCCCTAGCTATAACTTTTCACAATAATATTTTATGTTACAGCAAATTCTATTCTCACAGCAATGACTTCATCCTTCCTTGTAGATATGAAATCCACTTCATTAAGGAGCTATATTCGTTTCACTGGGAAGAGCCCTGACTGCTTAGTTTCAAACCATTGCCAACACCCTACAGGTGTCAGACCCTAAGTGGGCACTGAGTACTGAAGGAACATGTTAAGAGATCAAAAAAACGGAACGAATGGCAAGTAGTGTGCAACACGAGAGCAGGCACAGAAATAACACAATACTTTACGAAACTTAAGGGTTTATTCCAAAGGGCCTCATTGAAAACTATGCTTCTTACTCCGCAGACTTATCTTGGGCCACATTAACCACTCACAACCATTTTAGCTGACCAAGTTTACACATTTGTTGAAATGACAACATTATCTCCTTTTGAGAAACGTGTGAATTCTAGCATTTCATGATTACATTTCCCATAGCAACGTGCACTGGGATCCGAGCTTCTCTTCCGACTCGTTGTCGTGTGCCATTGAGTCAATTCTGACCCTCGTGACCCGAGCGAGCACAGCTGCCCCTGGGTTTCCGAGCTGTGACCTTGCAGGAGCAGACAGCCTCCACTTGCTCCCTCGTTGCCGCTGCTGGTTTCAAATGCTGGCCTTGCCGTTAGCAGGCTAACGTGGAGTACAGTGCACCTGCGCTTCTTCTCTGGCGCAATACAATGCCCTCAATTTAGGAATAACTCCTTGCAAACTAGCATTACCCAAAGATGGAATGTTTAAATGCAGATACAAATTCAGTGGCACAGGGGCATCCACAAGCTTTGGGAGATGCTAATACTCCTGGTCCTCAGGCTGTTTTGAGCAGAAGAAATTGAACTGAATAGACTTTAATTCAATTTAAAAGTATTTAAGGGTGACTAATCCAAACTGAACTAAATGTTTCTGAAATACAAAAATATAGAAAACATGACCAACTAATCCACCCCCTTCCAATTTCTGAGTAGCTACTGACTCCTGCCACCTCATTCTTGTAGGGAAAAAAAAAAGGTGGGTGGGTACAAAAGTGACATCCAATCCTCTGCTTAAAGGGAATATGCCTTGAACTACATTTTATTTTTAATTTATTTGTTTTTTTATTAACAATTTATTTTTTTATTAAAAGATCATTTTCTTGGGGCCTCTTACAGCTCTTATAACATTCCATACATCAATTGCATCAAGCATATTTGTATATATGTTGTCATCATTATTTTCTAAACATTTACTTTCTATTGAGCCCTTGGTATCAGCTCCTATCTGCCCCCCACCCTCGTGACCCCTTGATAAATTATAAATTATTATTATTTTCATATCTTTATTTTTGAGAAAAGGAGCAAGGATAAAGAAACAGCATTCCATTGGAATAAAGAATAGACAGTTGATCGTTTTGTTAAGTATTTCTCCACCCATTAGTTACTTTTATTTTGAATACAATTATGCAATCTCAATTACCCATGAGTTGTGAGCCAAAATTTCAAGTTACTAAAAGTTTGATTAGAAATATTGGTCTTAATGTAAAAAAAAATTCTTACCGTTTGCTTTATTCAATTCCACAAGTGTTCCTATATGTACAGGTAAACAATTTGCATGGAAAGGGTCTTTTTCCATTACTCTGAAAGTTAAAACAAAACATTACTGGCCCCCAAACAGTACATTACAACACTCCTTAAGAACTGCTATATTTAAATAATCATTACAGCAGTGCACACCATCGCATTGGTTATAAGTTTTTTCTTTTTAGGAGCTGTTTGGCTTTGATGTGCGAAGACCAGCTCTGTTTACTACCTCTTCTACCAACAGTGCAGTGGCCTTGGACACATTATTCAGAGATATAGGAAAGGTTTAAGACGTTTGGTTTTGAGCATCAATATAACAGCCCTTTAGTACAGTCTATAAAACGGGGTGAAGGAAACCAATTACTCTCTGCTTTGCTTTAATGTTTTAAATATTTTAATGAATGATCTACATAGAAAGTTGGAGGGGAGAAACATTTATTTATTTATCATATGCTTTAGTCACATATAGGAGCGCTGGTGGTATGGTGGTTATGTACTGGGCTGCGATCCACATGGTCGGCAGTTTGAAACCACCAGCAGCTCTGCAGGAAGAAGACTGGGCTTTCTACTCCAGTAAACAGAGTCTTGGAGACCCACAAGGGGGTCAATATGATTCAGCATTGACTCGGTGGCAGTGAGTTCGATTTTGGTTTATTCATATGTAGGTACATACATATTTGACTTCTTAATTTACAGTACCTTCAGGTTAGCTCAACAAAGCCTACAAATGAAAGGAATACTTTGGGGGTTTTTTTTACAGAAGGAATAATAAACGATACATATTAGTATATACATCTATTTAGATCAATAGAATCATGATGTATACAATAAATTATCCAGTTATTTAACACGATCAAATGCACTATGAAACACCATTAAGTAGATGACAAATATTTGACAATTACAACATCTGTAGTTTCAAGAAACCCAACGACTCGACTCCACGCACTGGCAGAGTCGCTGCAGGCTCACAGCGACTGCGGGCAGCGCAGGACTGCCCTGGGCTCTCCCAGACTGGACCGCTGATGCAGCAGAAAGCCGCATCCTTCTCCCAAGAAGACCCAATGAGCCTTACACACAGAAAACCTAATTTTGTGAAAGGACCAGTCTGAGTTATGTCCAGAGATTGTTCAGTCAATGAACGGGCCAGAATGGGAACTCAGTATTTACTGGAATCTATTAATATCTCATTTAATAAAGTACTTGTTTTATGAAACTTTATAATAAAATGGCATGTTCAAAGTACCAAAGAATGGGCAGAACTTATTAATGTAGTAACCTCCAAATATGCCTAAGTCTCTCCCTGCAAATTTCTCTTTTAAAGCCACACACTGGTCAACACTATGCAAATGGTCAAGACCAATAAAATTAGGATCAGCTCGTAGGAACTTATTCACAGAGCATGCTAGTATATTTCCTAGCTCCAACTGTCACTTCTGTCAATTCTGACTCCTAGCGGCCCTTTAGGGCAGTACAGAGCTGCTCTCTATTTTTCTGAGGCTGTAAACCTTTATAGGAGGAGACAGCCTCATCTTTCTCCAACAGAGTGGCTGGTGGAGTCTAACTGCTGATTTTGCAGTTCGCCCTCCAACACTTAAGCTAGTATGGCACCAGGACTCCTCTAGTTCTTAGGAAGATGTGCTAATCTCTGTATTCTTACGCAGTATATACTTACACAGAAGTAAGCTTATAGCACATTTTAAAATCACAGTTATAATAATGTCTCTCAGCTAACGACACGACCACATCCAGGTTCTCCTGTAAGCCGTCTACAGATTCAGGAATAATGGTTTCACTAGGTTTATTATACTGAAAAACAGAGAAATGTAAATGTAAGTTAACTGAGCAATAACGAATCACTAAGTAGTCACTATGTGTGCTTAGTTCAAATGTTTAAAGGAGTCAAACAGACATGTTTGAGCTCCTGAAAACGGACTAACAGCACATTTCATCGGCACTCTCAATAAACTTACTACAAGAGTTCCAGGACACAAAGTATTCTTACAAAGTCAAATTTCAAAACCTATCTGGTGGCATAGTGGTTACGAGTTGGGCTGCAATCCACAACAAAGTCAAATTTCCAGGAAGAATAAAAACGAACCCTTCACTCTCATGCAACATCATTTCATTTACTTGGTAATTCATTTTGAAATACACAGAATCCCTGGGAGGAAGGAAAACATTTTTGAATGTTCTTTTAGAAGTCATTTCACATATTTTATATAATCTAAGAGCATTGCTATAAATGTGCAAACTTAGGGAAAAATATATATTTTTTTAATTTAGTGTTTCTAGACCAGTGGTTCTCTACCTTCCTAATGCCACGATCCTTTAATACACTTCCTCATGATGTGGTGACCCCAACCATAAAATTATTTTCATTGCTACTTTATAACTATAATTTTGCTACTGTTACAAATTGGGCAACCCGTGAAAGGGTTGTTCCACCCCCAAAGGGGTCACAACCCACAGGTTGAGAACCGCTCTTCTAGACAAAGCAAACCTTCCTATTACATTATTACTAAATCCTACTTCTAAGAAAGTAACACTTTAAGATTAGTAATAGGAAATTGCCACACTTGAATAACTAGTAGAAATGAGAGGTCAGATTTAATAGAAGGAATAACATTTTAAAAAAGTAAGCATATACTTGTTTTAATTACCTTTTTTAATTTGTTCTCAAATAGAAAACGCAGCAATTCCTGCTCTTCAGTACACAGCTTGCTAAGAGGTAGTGATTCAAGAAGTTCTTTTTCTTAAAAATGGAGAGAGAAAAAAGTGTTCTCATAATGCATATGGGAAAGAAAAAAGCATTCAGCAATTACATTTTTTTCTGCAGTTTTTGGTTTTAATCAGTCAAACTCAAAAGAAAATAGCCCTGTCAAAATGCACCAGAGAAAGCTAGGCCAGTGGCCCCACACCTGGTGAGGGACCACGCGAGGGCTGAGCAGCTCTTTCAGGGCTTGCCCAGGAAGTGGCAAGGCGAGTCTGTCCTTGGCCAGACCAGAGAACGACTAGGCTAGTTTTTTCATCTCAGCACTATTGACATTTTAGTCCGGATAATTTTTTGTTTTAGGCCATGGGAGGGGAACCTTTTTTCCTGCTCAGGTCCATTTGGATATTTGTAACATAATTCAATGACCCATATTAGTGAAACATCAGTTAACTCAACCCTCACGTGATGGCTGAAACTGATTCTCTTTGGTGAGGCATGTAATGGTAGCTGGTATTGATGATTTTGTGGGTTTTATGCATTTCCCATCCCCGTTTTAGGTGAAATCATCTGAATATTAGGATGTTTATAACATCTCTGGCCTCTCAATCTACCAGGTGCCAGCAACAACTTACTACCAATTCCTTTTCTTTCAAGTTATTGAAACTATAAATACCTCCAAAGCCCCACCAAATCCATGGACATCAAGTTGATTCCAAGTCACCAAGTTGTAGTGACCACATAGGCAGAGCAGAACTGCTTGCAAGGGGTTGAGACTTAACGGGAAGAGACAGGAGCAGCTTTCTCTCGTGCACCGGCTGGTGGGTAGGCTCCAAACAGCAACCTCTAACACGTAACTCACTATGGTAGCAGAGCTCCTTTAGATCCCTGCAGTCGTCAAATGTCCCGAGGTATAAATCCCCCATTGAGAATCCTTGCACTAGGTAAAGATGTGCTCAAATCCCACTAATACACAACCTCAACCTCATTCTGTTTGTTTTTCTCCTTCATCCACTTCTGAACCACTGGAGACATGGGTTCCACATCAGTGCTTCCCAACACTTGAATTATTACAACGCTTCAAGCTTCAAGCCATGCTGATACCAGTGCCCTATGTCCAGAGATTCTGACCCAATTGGTCTGGAGTTGGGGCCTAGACACTAATGTGCAAGCAGGTTGAGAATGACCAAAAACTGGATATTCAAACCTGGTTTATACTACATCTATCTAATCATGGCTCATAAGGGTGGCCTGGTCACTTCACAGTCCCTGTGGACTCTGAGAACAAGACGCACTGACCAGATACTGTATTTTACAATGTGCTTCATTCATACTTGAGGACATTAAGAAAGTCAATAGGTCTATTTGAACATGAGTATAACCTGCACTTGGGTTTCTAAAGTTCAGAGAGGAAAAACAATCCTAAAAATATTAATCATACTAAACACACACACACACACACACACACACACACACAAACACCTTAGTTTGCAAACCTTCTTGTGCTGTCAGCATGTGGTGTGATGTTAGAAGATCAAATGCTTCAAAACAGTACACATCAAGCTTCAACGCTTCTTTATAGCTATAGGTAGCTAGGGTTCGGTTATCTAGAGCATCATAGATTTTCCCTCTTAAAAGACAAATAGAACTCTTTATCTGTTGGGAAAACATGAGTTATACACTTAGTCAACACTTGTCAACTTAACTTTCGATTGAAAATAGTAAATTATTGAAATACTGAAATTTTCACATCTAAACAGATTTGGTTCATGACAACTGTCAGTGTATAGGCAGCTCCTGGGATACGAATGTTAGATTTATGGAAACTCATACTTGCCCTTTAGTGTGATGCAAATCTGTCCTCGATTTGAAATGACTCAATCACCCCAACCTGCCACTATCACTGAGTTATCCCAAATCACAGTGACCCTGGAGGACAGAGCGGAACTGTCCCTCAAGGTTTCCAAGGCTGTACATCTTTTCAGAAGTACTCGGCTACATCTTTCTCCCACGGGGCAGCTGGTGGATTTGAACCAGACCTTTTGATTAGCAGCTAAGCTCTTTCACCACAAATCAACCCCTTCCCATAGTACAGTCTTCCTCACAATCACCTTCCTCACTCTCACTGGGTGCACATGTAACTTTTATTGTTGAAAGGATTCGAGATTTTTCCTGCACGAAAGTAAGGCCTGGAATTCTATGCACCTGTTTAGACTTACCTACAAATTCAACTGAAGGGCACTCTCTTAAGTTAAATGGGTCTGCTGGTAACCCAGGCACTGCTTGTAGAGTATAATTAATAGAAACATGAAGGAAATTAGAAAGCTTCTCTGAACTATCTTCTCTGGGCTCTAACCAGTTTATTCCAATAATTCCTCATAATTTATGTACGCACCAGGACTACTAAATTCATATTCCCCCCCAAATAGGGTGATGATTACAGAGCAGCAAACAGAGGATATATAGGAACACAAACTTTTAGATAGTTTGATAGATCCAAGTGAAAGGATCGTAGTGTATATTAAACTGGAAGCAATGTAGCACAGTTGGTAAAAGCATGGTTTTCTAGAACTGGACAAACATGAGTTCAAATCTTGACTTCTGTCATTTACTACTGACCTTGGACAAGGAAAGGAGCCTTGGTGAAGTAGTGGGTTACGAATTGGGTTCCTACCCACAATGTGGGCCATCTGAAGCCACCAGTGGCTCTATGGGAGAAAGACGAGGCTTTCTGCTCCCAGAAAGAGCCTCAGAACCCCAGGGCCAGGTCTACTCTCTCCTGTGGGGTTGCAATGTGTCAGAACCAACTTGATGGCAGAGCTTTTCGTTTCCCAGAAACTCTTAGTTTTCTAAAACACCCTTCTTGGCTGCACTGCCTTATCTATAACAAGTAGGAAATGCTATCTAACTTACAAGCCTCTTGTGGGGATAAATGTGATTACTTCTGTTTATCGGTAGCACATAGGAAGGTATTCAATAACCAGTAGCTATCTCATTTCTATTGTTAAAAGTAGTACAGGGAAATATGAGTTAATCTCAAGAAACAAGTAATTGAATTTAAAGATGATCCAGGTTTGGGCAGCTAATGATGAGGGAAATTCATGAGGGAGACTCAACATAAAAATCAAAATTTATAAAATAGTGACAGGAGAAGAGAATATTAAGAAATAATAGGTTTTTGAATTAAAAAAAAATCATAAAGTAGAATAAGCCCTACTTTTTGGCAGTGAAGAGTTCAACCATACTGAGGACGTATTCCTTACGAAAGGGAAAACACAGCCACTAGAAGCTGCATTGCCTACAGGCACAGCCACGGTGCTGAGCACTATAATGAATGGGCGAGAAGTCAAAAGAAGGGAAAACCACACACTGAAGAATCTGTGGCATTCCTGAACTCTCTAAGTGCAGCAACCAGTCCCCTCACCAACAGGCTACCAAGGATACTGGGATGAGGGGAGGGAGGTGCGGTGTGATACCAGGAAGTAAATTTCCTTTTGGGGTTAGGAAAATGTCCTCGAATCAATTATGGCGATACTGCACAGCGGTGTCCATATATACAAAAAAGTCATTGAACTACTTATCTTAAATAAATTTAACAAACTGCCATTTGTGACCTATCTCAATAGAGCTGTTTAGAGATGAGTTTAACCGTGGAGATCAGTGAGCTGAGGATGGGTGCCGATGACACTGATTGTTACATGTCACAGTCTCTACAATGAAGCAGTTTGCAAGTTCACGAGAAAATGTATTCAAACAAGCACACACACAGAATGTCCTACGTGGTCCATGGTGGTGACCAAACCATCCCAGGGAGGAAAGAGGCAGACAACCTAAAGGGATCGAGAGTGTTTTGAGGGGCTGGAGCCACACAAACACTGTTGAAACCCCTCAAAAGCAAAAATCAACGTCCCTGCCATCAATGCCAGCTCATAGCTACCTTAATGGCAAGGGTAGAATTGCCCTTGTGAGTTTCTGACTTGGAACAAATTATGGGAGTAGAAACCCCTGTCTCTCCTGAGGAGCTGGTTTTGAATGGTGGACCATGGGGATCACAGCCCAACTAGTTACCACTGTGCCACCAGGGGTCCTCTGAAACCCCTTCAGAGGGGAAACAGTACACCACCTGGGGGGCGTAGTTACACCAAAGGCGTGGAATGTAGGGAAAATCTTCAGGGAACCCACTTTACATTCAGGCGGTCTGAGGACATTACTGAGGTTCACGTGACAGCTCAGAAATATCCTATAACCTCTTTATTTTTGTGTGGTCAAGTTAACCAGCTGTCAACCATCCACTTTAACATGGCTACGTTCAATTTAAAAAAAAAATCAATGGTTTTCGGAATGCAATGTGGGCAATTTGTGACGTCGCTGAGGCACGCTAACAGTCTTTGGTGGCAAGCACTGGGTTTTGACCCCAAACTACTCACTGAGGATTGCGACATTTCCCAGTCCCTCGGGGAGTCTTTCAGGCCGCTTTCGTCCTTCAAGTATTTTTCAAATAATCTTTTGTTGATCGGCTCCTCCATGTCAAGGATATCGAGAGCCTGCTGGTGCTCTCTGGCCGCATACTACGCAGGGAAAGGGAGAAAACTGCTCGTGACTCTGAAAACCGTATGTTCACCCCCAGCGCCAGGCGTTAACACAGAGTAACAAAGATCAGGCTCAGTCTTTCACTAAGTTAGAGGTGTCTAAACTTCTCCCAGCACATCAGCTTTCAGGAAGTGGAGAATCAATATTTTAAAGCAAGCAATCCTAAAGCGAAGAACATTCCCCTGTGACATATTTTATTAATCTGCCCAGCTCTAAATTCTCACACACACGAGGGACGTACACAACGAGCCGCTTACAGACATACATGACATGGACAGCATACTTACATGACATCGAGCTGCCAGGTATCTGCATGCTTCGTATAACTAGGGAAAAAATCAGTCTATTAAGAAAGTGGTCAGCCAAAGCTATCTCCAAAGCTGTATCTTTAAAGCGAATGAATGGCCCCAAATTGGAACCAAACACGCACTGAGGCAAGTCTTCCGACTCATAGCAACCCTACAGAATGGAGTAGAACTGCCTCTGTAGGCTTCCAAGGCTGTACATTTTCACAGGAGTAGAAAGCCGCCTCTTCCCGTCACCCCCGGCCCCACCTGCCCATCCCACCCGCAGTGGCTGGAGGGTTAGAATTGTGACCTTGTGGTTAGCACCCCAACTCCTACCTCACCAGCGTTCCTAAACCAAACAATAAAACTCAAAAACCAAACTCACCGCTATGGAGTCGATGTTGACTTAGAGCGAGCCGCCCTATAGGACAGGGTAGTACTCCCTCTGTAGGTTTCTGAGATTGTACTTCAAAGGAGTAGAAAGCCTCATCTTTCTCCCATGGAGCGGCTGGTGGTTTTGAACTGCTGACCTTGCAGTTACCAGCCCAATCGTAACCACTACTCACTAAAAACAAAACCCAACTCACTGTCATCAAGTCGATTCTGACTCATCGTGACACTGAGGCAGGGTAGAACTGTCCCAGCAGGTTTCTGAGAATGTAACTTTATGGGAGTAGAGAGCCTCATCTTTCTCCTCTTAAAATACTATAAGCATGAAATAAAGAGAATAATTTTAATCATTTCTTCTGTGATTCTTGCAGTAGGAACCTGAGAGAAGGGCACAGTGAGGGAAAAGCTTCCCAGCCACCTTGTGACAGCACCTAGGGCAAGGGTTTGCTTATTAGGCAGTGGATCCTAGAGGTGGGAGGAGCCCTGGTGGTGGTTACAAGTGGGGCTCTAAGCACAAGGTCTGCTGTTCAAAACCAGCTGACGCTCCACGGGAGAAAGATGAGGCTTTCTACTCACGTATTAGTCTCGGAGACCCACAGGGCCAGGGTGGCAGCCCTACCCTGTCCTGTAGGGTCACTACGAATCGGAGTTGACTCGATGGCAGTGAGTTTAGTTTCGGTTTGGAATGGATGGGTGGGCAGCATGACAGACCCTGGTCAGGACCAGTTGTTGTATGCTTAAGGAGCGCTAGGGCTCAGGCTGGAAGGACTATTTACACCTGGTATTAATCTGATGACATTAAAATAAAAGCAAAATAAGCTGTAGAAACCCTGACAGGTCCCGCGGCCACTCACTTTGTCTAGTTTCCGGGACCGAAGTGCATGCGCTGCTCTATGGTACTGCGCCGTCAGGTAGAGACACTGCGCCAGCCAGTAAATGTCCTGGGGTTCCTCTGTGGTGAGAATTACATAAAGGGTCAGCGTCTAAAACTGGGGAATTCAGGACCAAAACCCTGAAACCATCATTTATCACTTACCGTGAGAGAGTGAGGCTACTTTATCTGCCCAAAAGAGAGCACTTTGATACTGTTGCTGTAGGGAGAAAAAAGGCGAAAAGGTAACTGATCTATTTCATGGAAACTCACAAGCTCCCTCATCCAGTCCCTCAAAGCAACCCTGTAGGACAGAGTGCAAGTGCCCCCTGGGTTTCTGAGACTCTCCCTCTATGACACTATCATCTTTCTCTTGTGCAGATTTGTAAAGATATCTAATATTCTCTTTGGGGGATTTCATTTATAAATTTTTATTTATTGATATACATATAGTCAATAAAGTTTTATTTATAGATATGTAATATTCTTATAATGCTATATAATAAACCACCATCTTAATACAATGTGTTTTTGTAAGTAGTAGTTCAACTAGGATAATTTTTAGTTCCAGTATATAATAAAAACACTATTGCAATACCGTTGATATATACAATTCAAGGGGCTAGTTTTATTTTAAATGATACACTTCATAAATGTATCAGTGGGTATCTCACACAGTAGCAAATGTACATGCTAGTCCATTTGACAAGATATACTCACTAGTATATCTTACAAAGGAGCCCAGCTGGTGTAGTGGGTACAGGTTGGGCCGTGACGCCCATGGTCAGCAATTGGAAACCACCAGCAGCTCTGCAAGAGAAAGACTGGGCTTTCTACTCCTGTGCACAGTGACCGTCTCAGAAACCCACAGGGGCAGTTCTACCCTGTCCCAAGGAGTCTCAACACATCCGAATCGACTCGCTGGCCGTGAGTCTGCGTACTTCTTACATCATTTCTCTATGGATATTTTTCATGAGTTAGTCATCTCAAGTGAGAGGGCAGTGGCAAGAACACTCTATCTAATACCTCAAATAGCACAGATTTAATTTCAACAGCACTCAAATGAAACATAGTATACACACATGCATTAACTAAGCTTCTCTGGCCATGGGGAGCTACAAGGGACTGCCAATTCTAAAAAAAAAAAGTTAACGATGTAAGCCATGTGAAGTCACAAATCACAGGTTTATCGAGGCTAGCTTTACTCCCCATCTTCAGTCTTCTGGGAGAAGCAATGTTTACTGGGACAGACACCATTCTACTCAATTCTAAGTGGGAAGTAGGTCTCTTCTCTCACTCCTGACAGCACCCGGGACCAGAGAAAGAACCCAGTAAATACATGTGTTCAACAGATCGTGGTAAACAAAAACTATGCCTTCCAATGCACTGAAAGCCTTTGGCCGCAGCACCTCACATCCAATTCCCGATTCTTTGTAAGAAGCCCATTTTTTTCTCCTTTCTTCCTTTTTATTAACCAGGAAGGCACATATTTCCATTGAAAAAACAAAACAATGACATCATGGACCAGATACTGCTGATCCTGAAGACGCATCTTAAGCATTTGGGGAGGGGGGGGGAGGCTGCTAATGCAGAGTTAGCACTGAGAACTGGGGGATGGAGCTGTGATTTTTTTTCACCAAAAGTACCAATTTGAGACAGCATGTTTATTAGTATCGTCATCCAATTAAATTCGGCCAATTACAGTGAATGCAGTAGCAATTTTCCTATTAGCAAGCTACACTCGAAGGCCATCCGTGCAACTGCGTTTAGCACTGAAGATTGGATGAGCGCATATTGCGTGCTAGGTGTTCCTCTGGCAGCAGAAGGGGGCCGTCCACAAGTTTAAGACTCTTCCCTGCACTTCAGTAGCTTTCATTCTGAGTGCGGCAGGCTGCATAGAAGGGCTCCGAAATCGGAAGCGACAACAAGCAGGGGCTGCTTTCCTATTCGGGGAAGGGAGGCGGAAAAAGAAGGGGTTAACCCCATAGAAAAGCGCGAGCCCAAGGCTTAGGGACCCCGATGACAGGTAAACCCATCCTTCTAGGCCGCTACGGAAGTGGGGTCCAGGCTGGCCTTCCCTCCAGGTTCCCAGCCAGGCCCGCCATCCTTCCCGCCGAGCCGCGATTCGCCAGCCCTCCGCGCCGGCTGCCCAACCTGGTCAATGTACTGGCGGACGCGCTTCCGCAGCCGCTCCAGGTTCATGGTCGCGCAGGCCCGGTGAGCACGCGCCGCCGCTCCGCACACACCTCTGCCGGGACGCAGGCCCCTCCTTCCGGCTCCGCGCCGGGCCCCGCCCCCCCGCGCCGGCTCCAGTCCCGAGCGCCGCGCTCCGCAGACCCCGCCCCCGGCGCATCCCGCAAACGCGTCCCCCACGGGCGGGGAAACCAGCGTCGCGCCGTTGGTTCCGGCCCTGCCGCCGCCTTCTTCTCCTTCACCAAACAAGCCCAGCCCCAAACTCGCTGCTAGGGACTCATTGCCGACTCGTAGCGACCTCCGGCGGGTTTCCAGGACCGTCACCGTTTACCGCAGGAAAAAGCCCCATCTTTGTCCCGCGGAGCCGCGGCTGGTAGCGGTTGAGCTGTCGGCCACGCGGATCGCAGCCGGATGCGTTACCCACTGCAGCATCAGAATGAGCACAGGGCTCAGGTTCTTCGCCGGGCTGCCCACCCCGAGGTCGGAAGTTCGAAATCACCAGCCACTCCGAGGGAGACACATCAGGCATTCGACAGTGATAGTCCGGGAACCCACGGGGGCACTTGGACTCCGTGTCAGTCGACTCGACGGCGGTGATTCTCGGTGGTGTGGATTCCCAGCAGACCTAGCCCAGCCTTCCTTTCCCGCTCAGGTCTCTGTCGGCTTGCCGGCCTGAGCCACGTGGTGGAGGGTTGACTGTTTTTCTTCCTGAGAACGCCATGGGCGGATCGTATCTACTTGAGGAAACTAGTCACCCACTGTAAATGCCATGCCAAGTGGAGCCAGAATGCACGACAGTGAAGGGCTTGGCCCGACAACCTTGGATTGAAATGCAAGCCCCACTGCCTTGCGGTGCTTGTGAGGGTGACCCCAAGGAGATTCCCACCACCCGGGGGCCTTGGCCCCACCAGGGCACGCTGGGCATGCGCTTGGTGCATCGTGCCCTTCTTTTACAAAGTGAGGATAATAGGATGATGGAATGTAAGGATAAAATGCTATAATTCATGGAAAGTGCTTGGAATAATGCTGGATATACTGTCATGATCGGTTGTTTGGTGCCATGCGGTCACGTTAAACTTATCACGCCCTCACTGCTATCAAGGCCTTTCTGACTCTTGGCAACCCTGTGGGCTAGGGTAGAACTACCCCTGAGAGTTTCTGAGGGTGCAGGGACTCTTGACAGGAGTTGAGACCCTCATCCTCTTTCTCTGGTTTCGAACTGCTGACCTTGAGCAAAGCAGCCTAACATGTAACTGCAACACCTGCAGGGCTTTCTCATAATCGTTTTCTGAGCCTAGTGTTGCAGATGCTAGGTCAATCTATCATGTTAAAGTTCATCTGCCTTTTTTAGTGGTCTTTTATCTTACTAGCACGCCAGCCCCTTTCAGGGACTATTCCCTCTTGATAATATGCCCAAAATATGTGAGGTGAAGCCTTGACCTGGCTTGTATGGAGTATTCTGGCTGTACCTTTTCCCGGACGGATTTGTTTTGTTCCTCGGGCGGTCCATGGTGTTTTCAATGTTCTTACTAATACCATAATTAAAGGGCACCAATTCTTCTACAGTCTTCCCTATTCGCCGTCATGCATATGAAGTGATGGAAAATACCATGGTCAGGAGCACATGAGTCTTCAAAGTGACATCTTTACTTCTTAACCTTTAGAAAAGGCCGTTTGCAGCAGATTTACCCCCATGATATAAGTTGTTTGATTTCTTGATTGCTGTTTCCATCAGTCTTCATTGTGGATCCAACTACAGTAACTTCAGTCTTTGTTTATCATGAGTGTGTCAGTCTGGGTTGACTAAGGAAACAAATTCATAGACACTTATATGTGTATAGGAAAGAGCTTTATGTAAAGAGCAGTTGTATATTAAGAAAACATCCCAGCCCGGTCCAGATTAAGTCCATAAGTTCATTATTAGCCCATATGTCCCATACCAGTCTATAAAGTTCTCTTCAGACTCATAAAACACATGCAATGA